GGTCTTGACCTCGGTGTGGCTTAGGTCCACCCCTTTTTTCTCCATGATCCAACTTAGGATCATCCCGTATGGTAGGCTAAGTCGGTTGCTTGATTTGCAAAACTCCATGTGTTTTAGCATGAGGGCTGGCAGGTTGAACTTGATTTTGTGTTTCAAGAAGTAAGCAAAGGTGCACTCTAAACTCCCCACGTCCTTGCTCTTATTGTTCGTGGGCAAGAGGCTATCGGTCACAATCATAACCAATATCTTTTGCTCCGCCGATAGCCACTTCCTATTAGGTCGTGTGGCCGATGTGAATCCTTCCTCCTTCCCGAGTAGGTACCCGAGGTAGTTCTTGTACCCCGCATTTTGGGTATCAATCCACCCCTTTCGGTCGTAGTTTGACACACCCGTGGTGGTCAATTTCAAGAGCTTGGCCAGGCGGCCTTCAGAGAGTATGATTTCCTTGCCTCGGACCTTGGTGGTGATTTCTAGCTTATCACCCCGTTTGGTGGCTACTAGATGTTGATAGAATTCTTTCACCAATTCGGGGTACGTATCCCCCTTAATGGCGAGATACGTATCCAAAAGCCCTTGGTGTTTAAGCATATCAACCAATTTCGGAGAGAATTGGTCGGGTTCAAGGGCTTTACCTCCGATCACGGTGTAATCGGCGTTGCTCCATTCTGGGGTGCGGGTTCCGAGTGGCTTTTTCGGCATTGTGGAGCTTTCCTTGGTGACAAAATTGTCCGGTAAATTTTCCGGTGGGACGGCGGCGGAACTCCGGCACGCTTTTCCGGCGAGATCCTCGGCGGTGCGGCGCTTGCGAGGGCGGTGGCGGCTAGGTGGGTTCCGGCGAGGGGCGATGGCGTGGTGGTGGCGTTTGGGCCGTGGCGACAGCGGGTTGTAGCTGGGCGGCGGCGTGGGGCTGGCGAAGGACGGTCGGCCGGTGGCGGCGTTCGGTTGGTAGTGGCGTCGTGCGGCTGGCGGGAATTCTACGGTGGGGGCAGTGAGGTGAGTGGGAGGGGGAAGGGAAGGAAGTGGGGAAGAAGGAGGAGAGGAAGAAGAAGAAGGGTTTTTGATTTGGGGATTTTGTGGGTTTTTAGGAGTTTGTGGGGGTTTAAGAAGGGAGTGTTCGCTTGAGGTTTTAAGAAACACCCTTAGTCTAGTGGTTAAGACCTTGGTCTTGTGAGTGGGAGGTCAATGGTTCAATTCCCATTAGTAACACTAGGTTTTTTGATGATGGGGCCCTTGTCTTTTTCCTTTTTTTGTCTTCTAGTGGTGAGGGCTTGGCTAGTTTGTATAGTTTTTGGTTTCATCTTTATAAGCAGGATCGAATCTTTTATTTATAATAATTCTAAAGTAATCGCTAAATAAGTAGTTTCACTATGAAGGTGATTACAAGGAATTGCTGGTTTATCCTAGACAGAATTCGTCTTCTTGGTTTTCTCCCGTGGGGTTTGCGTGGTCCTCGTCTTCTGGGGTTAAGTTCCCCTCCTCGAGGTTGCTCTCGTTCCCGAGGTCGGCTTGAGTGCGGCTCATGACGAATATTTTCCTGGGAGCGCCGTAGTTCCCTTGGTGGGTGGTGCCTCCGTGTTGACCCGTGGTGGTGGGGCGTGGCCTTTGGGGTTGAGTGCACTGGAAGGCCTTGTGCCCTTCTTCTCCGCAGTTGAAGCATCGCCAGGGATTGCCCATGCAATCTTTTCCTCTATGGCTTTTGTTGCATTTCGGGCAAGGGAAGCTTCTTGGGTTTGCTTCATTGTTCCCTAGGGACGGTCTTTGGTTGGTCAGGTTGCTTGGTCTTGTGTTGGTGTCGTTCCTCGTTCTTTTTACCGGTGGTGCTCCCCCTCCGGTATTCCTTTTTCGTATCTGTTCCTGAACCCCGCATTGGAGTAGTTGGATTCGATAGAGATTGGCGGCACTGGAGTAAGCCTCGTTGAGTGTCCGAGGTCTGCTTACCACTAGTGCTTTTCGGGCTTCGAAGTTGAGGCCTGAGACGAATCTTTCTATTTTGGTTACTTCGGTGGGGACTAGCTCTGGTGTGAAGCGCGCTAGTTCGAGGAATCGCTTGTGGTATTCCATGACGGTGGCTGTCCCTTGCTTTAGATGAAGGAACTCTTCGTACATGGATGCCTTTACGTGTGTTGGGTAGAATCGTTCTCATAGTCGTGTTTTGAGGTTTTCCCAATTGAACCCTGGTTCTTGTTGGTAAGCGGGACCCTCGTGGATCCACCAAAGATCGGCCTTGTGTCCGAAGTAGAACGAGGCTACCTCTACGCGACGTTCTTCTGGGCATTCCACTAACCCGAGAATTTTGTCGAGGGTCCGGATCCATTCCTCCAGGATCACGGGGTCCTCTTCTCCTGAGAACGTGGGTGGTCGATGATTTGAAACTTTTCGGGCGACGTCTGAGTTCGTGTTCGATGGAGGAGGCGGGGGCCTGTTGTTGCGAAGAGCTACGTCGCTTAGTGCCTGGGCGACTTGCGTTAGTTGTTGTAGTGTTTGGGTCAGGGGGTCGTGTGTGGTGGGTTCTGGAGTCCTTGATTGTCTTCTGTTGGGTGCCATGCTGTCGTCTTTCTGAGTCAATGTTTATAAGAATATTAATTTAGAGCTTGGTGTCCTTCCTTGACGCGATAAGCGGAGGAAGGTTTTCTTTAGACAAGGAAGGAATGAAGTGAGGGGGGTTTACGTGTAGGTTTCACAATCTCACCGCGCGTCCTAAAATTCCCGAGTCCTATGTTCCTAAATACCTAGAGTTCAAGCCTAATGTCCTAAAGTCCGGTTTCAAGAGTCTTATCCTAGGGTCAAACTTAGGCTCTGATACCAACTGTAACACCCCAGATTTTCAAGAACATTTAAAACTTATATAACAAGGATAACATCTCACTAAATCCCAAAGTATCACATAAGCGTACGGGGTGCTATGCCACACCTGGGCTAGAGAACCCGGGTGCACAGGCTATCTAACTAATATTCTCCGAAATGTAAATGCATAACATGGCACGCAAGCCGAAAGGGAAACTACTCTACTTCTACGCTCCAGTCTAGCGCGCTCCGGTGCTCTAATCCTCTGTGCCTGAAAGCCAAATATATCTGTTCAGCGAGAGATGCTGGTAACCCACTCCAACGCGTTGAAATACAATACATATAGATATATAAAGATATACGAAAACCATTTTGAGCATGAAGATATATCCTACGAACTCTAGCTTTTAAAACCGGGAATGACTCGACAGATAAGGCTAGACACAAGCAACAGTTATAACAAGCGTATACAATCCACAACAGGCAAGACAAATAAAGCTGAGCACAATTAATAATCATAACCCAACATAAACAATCCCCAGCATAAATCCCATAGTCACATCTCCCAAGATACTCATAATCACAACTCATCCATATCTCATCACATAGCACACTTTGTTGGCGCCACAGGACGAATCGCATGCCCATACATGAGGGTCAGCGCATATAGCTCTGACACGGCCCCGCAGCACCCTGCCCCGTATCGCAACACGGAGGGGTCGATCGCAACCGACCGATGAACCGCAGCTCATCATAATGTTTGATCGCAACCAAACAGTGGACCGCAGCCCAAGAGTATGTCATCTGACCGCAGCCAGGAAAGTATGAACCGCAGCTCATGTAGAAACGTTTGATCGCAACCAAACGGTGGACCGCAATTGATTACTTGTTTATGATTAAAAAGGTTAAGTTTGTTCGAATGGATAATTCTCTAGGCAAACTTAAATGCTCTAAATCATTGCAAACGGAAAATTGTTTTAATCATAACTGAAGTGCAGAAGTCAAGGAAACAGGTGAACATGTCAAGCATCGAAGTGTCAAAAGTAAATGGTACAATTTAAATTATTTATTTATTCTCGGCGCAGAGTGGGAAACAGGCTCCCACTCAAGCACGTCTCTGACGAGACTGACACGCGATGAGAAAGGCATTTAATGCATTCTCTATCGTATTAAATGCTCATTTCAGTACTTGAGTATACTTTTCCTTCCCTATTTAATGCATATATCACCTTTTGGGGATATTTTCCTCCTTATCAATCATCCGTACTTATAGCCTGAAAAAATGATCCGTATTCCTCATTTATTCAAAATTTCCTAAGGGCATTTATGCCATTTGTCTGGTTGCCATTCAATGTTACCAGAACAAATTCGAAGCAACCCAATCCATTTCTCAAGATATAAAAGCCTATTTTCAACCCAAGGGTCTCACTTTTAGCGATTAACGAAGAAGAAACCGTTTCTCTCTCTCAAACTCTCTTTAATCCTAGAAAACCTTTAAACCTTCAAAGCTTCAAGCTTTCTTAGCCTTCATCAATGGCGAACAACCAGGCCCCCTCCTCTTCTACTTCTTCTTATTCTAACCCAGTGAATGACGAGCAAGTTCTTGATGAACTTAGTAGCAAAGTCAAGGCTGGTTCAATGTTTGATCAGACAGGTTACATCCGTCAAAGCGATAACAAGACAATGGCGAAGAAGGTCCTAAAATGTATGGAGGAAGCAGGACTTCTGAAGTTTGCAACTTTTGATTACAAGGAGGTTCATCTCTTGGACGCGATTGAGTTCTTCGTGAACGCCAAACTGTCGGAGAAGGAGGACGCTATTCTGTCAATGGTGAATGAAACTCAGGCCACCAACGTTCATGGTGACATCCAGTTTGATTTTTTGGTGAGGGAAGGAGACAAGCCGGATTGCTCAGGCCATGCTTACAACTTGGACGAGCTATGCCAAGCAGCCAATGGAGTGGACGCCCTAGCCTAGCTAAAGTTCTCTTTGAAGAAGAAACTGTTGAAACCGGACTATGAGCACGTAGTAGACATACTCAGCAAGATTATTGAAAGCAGAGTTGTCGGCACTAATGATGCGACCAAGGATAAGTTTACAATGCTGAGTGCGCTTCTCAACAACTACCCAGTGGATTGGTCAAGAGTAGTATGCGACTTTCTCAAGTCGTGTGTCCATAGATGCATTGAGAACCTGCGAAAGGAGCATCTCCAGCTATGGCACCGAAGGGAACACCACTTCCAGCCCCTGCTAAGGCCAAGGGCAAGAAAACTCCTTCAGCTCCTATCCTAGATCCTGTTCCAGCTCCAACCTATGTTACAGCACCAGTTCCTACTCCAATACCAGAAGATAGCTCTTTTGACGTTCCCCTAACCGAGGTGGTCCGCCTAGCCCAAGAACGTAAGCGCAAACAATTCAAGGGCACCTTGAGTCAAACAGAAAAGACCCAATCGGCACCCCAACCTCCAAGGAAAAAGAAGAAGAAATCTAAGCAACAAAGTGGCTATGGTGCAACCAGGCCAAAAAGGGTAGCCGAGGGGTTGGAAAAAACATCAATCGAGATGGCTCTAACCTAGGGGGAATAACACCGAGTGGATGTGGCTCGAGAGATCAGTAGGACAGAGCCTACCATTTGTGTGGAAATAGTAAAAATCCCTCTAACCGAGGATAGGAGAAATTCGGTTAGGGAAGACGACGAGTCTCGCGTGAACAATGTTTCAGACTTTGTTAAAACTCCAACCCTCCAACAAAAACCTATGCAAGTAGAAGAGGTGACGAGTGCAAACGCCTCTGATATTATTGCTAAGATCGCTCGTGAAACTAGCAAGAATGTAGAGGATCTAGCCACAGTCGAGGACCTGGTCCGCTCGAGAAGTCCTATCAATGTTGATGTCGAGTTGGCACAACAGTTGGCCAATGAAGATCAAACTAAGGCCAATATTTCAATTGGCGAGGCAAGTGAGCTATCAACAAATGAAGACCTACTAGCCGAGCTATTAAGGGTCACTACATGGAAAAAGTAGAGCTTGTCGAGTCTTGAAATCATTACTGAAGGACTGACTCACATGTGGACCGAAGAGGAATTCACTCTAAGTTGGATGGGCACGTCTTCTATCTCTATCACCACCCAAATAGACGAAATAGCCCGAGTCTATTGGGAGAAGTAGGTTGGACGAGATACTGCCAAGGGAAAGGGCAAAGTGGTCAACGATGACATCACGACTCCCACTGGCCCTCCCAAGTCGTTCTTGAAGGAATTAAGGCAAGCTCAAGCCTTTTCTCGCTTCGAAGCCGAGTTCGTGGATCCCAATCTAGAAGCTGGTCCAAGTAACTAAGGAGTGCCAACCGAGGAGAACGGACATTAAACGACTCGAGCTGAGATGGATAATAGCATGGTGGATGAAGTGGTTCACACTTCAGTTGCAAAGCCCGAGGACGCAACACCACCAGTTGCCAATGAGTCAACCCAGAAGGTTGAGGAGGCAACCGATCAGATGCAAATTGTTTTGTACCGACGAGTGGATGACTCAGCCCCACAAGCTCAATCTATCCCTACTCAAGAGGATGCAGTACTGAGTAGAGAGGCTGATGTCATTGACATACCTAGTAGTCCATCAACACCTCGAGAGGTTGAAGTACAGAGGGAGTACTTAACTTGAGGAGGAAGAGAAGGCCACCAGCCAAAAACCACACCCACTCGAGAAGTAGAGGTACCCAGGGGTGCAGGCTAACCGTCAACCACTCATACAACATAACTAAACCCAGGTCACGAAGAGGGGTTCGTGTACGCACCAAGTTCTAGCTCAACCGGTGGTGGAAAAAGGGAAGCACCACTTGGCGCGAGCTATGACAACTTTATGCCACCTAGTTCTGATCAAGGGTAGATGCTACCTCTGGCTCCAAGGCCCATGGGAGATGCCTTAGCAGTTCTCAAAGCTCTCCAAAACATTGCCAAAGACCAGAAGGCTTCATTCAGGAACCTGAAGAAGGCAGTCCCGTCATACGCCAAAAGTAGCTGATGAGATAAAGGCTTATGTTGTTCAAGAAGCAAACGCCGCCAAAGACTTTGTCGAGACTCAGTACCCGTAACCAAGACCAAGTGGACCCTTGTCTCGAGCTCAAGAATTTAGGGAGACCGTGATGTAATCTTTTACCAGCACCGAGATGATGATGGCTTATTTAATGCTCTGAATCGAGACAGCTCACGCTGGTCTAGTCGACCTAACCAAATGCCAAGAAAAGATTCAAGAAGAGCATAAGTCCATCAAATACGATCAATTCGGCCTGAAAGAACGTGTTGATCTCTCTTGCAAAATGATCGATTTTCTCATTGAGAGTCGAGCAGTTCTAGGGGACAACCAGCTCATGACACTCTAAGAGATCCGAGAGTTGTTTCAGTCCCAGCCGACTGCACAACCAGCATGCCATACCTCCAATGATGCCAAAAAGGGAGAAGTGAGTGGAGCTAAAGCTAGTGGAGCTCAACAAGTATACTTCTCGTCCCTCGGACCATCATCTCGTTCCCTAGCTTCATCATTTCGTGGAGTTCAGCCTTATAGAGCGACAGGTAAACAGCGAAGTAGTGCTACAAGAACTACCTTCAGGACCAAAATGACAATTGATGCTGAAGGGAGGAAAGTTCCTTATCAACCTTACAAGGAAGGTAGTGGTGAGAAGTTAAGAGGCTACAACATTCAACCCAATTACTCGCACTGGAACTGCGAGCGAAAGCAAGCCAACCTGGTCAACATGAACAACAAGATTGCTGAAGAAAGGTGATGAACTGAACAAGTTGACAGTGAAAGGAAATGGCTACAAGAGGAGGTTACTAAACATGAAAGGCATGTCAAGGCTAGAGTTGAATCCTTGCAGAAAATAAGGAAATTAGAACCGGATGAAGTTATCTGAAAGGCAGTTTTTGATATACAAAGGGATAACAATACTTCTTTTGCTGATGGAATGAACACATCCGAGTTCGTATAGTGGTGGAGACGAGGAGTAGTTGAAGGAGACAATGTCACAAAAACCTTCCACAACTACATATACTTCAAGATCAGTCCCCAATTTGATCAACTCGTCAACCGAGACAACTTCATTGGCTCCAGAGCTTAAATCAGCTACCAACTTGACAAGGACGCCATACAAGGAGGAGGTCAACTCGACTAAGGCAAGTAAACATTGTAATAGACTAGATTTATTTTGCTTTATTCTAATTGCAATATGTTTGAATTACTAATAGAAAGTAATTTTGGGGTTGCGCTGAGTTCTTATTGCCTGTAATTTTACTCATAGAAAGATTTGTTAAAATTTTGTTGTATGTAATGTAAAATCTTTTCTTGACAATTTCAGCCTTATAGTAAGAATATAGGTTTTGGCATCATCAAAATGGGAAAAATTGTTAGAAACACTTTGTATTAGATTTTGTTGATACCAAACTTAGGAGTTTAGACCCCACCCCGCCCCCACCCAATATTTTTTATTTCCTAGACTTAGGATAAGTTTACTCAACATTCAAATCTTAACCGAGTGGCTAAACTGTATTCAACGGAATGTACACTCGAGGAAGTCAAGTCTCTAACCGAGGACTTACCCGAGGGGTTAACTCTAAAAAAGAATGAAGATGAAGACCCAAGACTTAACCCAAGGGGTTGTCTCTCAATGACTCGTAACTCAAGTCTAATCAGAGACAAATAACTAAATACAGAAGATTCGAAGACAAAAACTGAGAGGTTGCAAAGATCGATTCGTGGAATGGTCTACCTCTTGTGTATTATAATATAAAGACAGAGTGATAAATAAAGATCATTCAAGGAGTTAAGGGATGATTGGTAAAGTCAACCAATCATATCCGAGAGGACAAAAGGTTCGAGGCATTAACCTAGTTAACAACTCGGTATGACTTCCAGAAAATATTCTCTTGTAAATAGTTCGAAACCTTAAAAAGTGAGTGAATATTTCCTAAAGACAAAGAGAGTCCTAGGATCATATGTAACACCCCGTGTTAAGGCCTCTAAAACCAATTAATTATTTAATCATTTGCCCAAAAGAAAGAATTAAATTTCATTAATTAATTAGGAAATGTCCACCATAAGCCCATGCACCCTTATCCCTAAAACCAATCCCTTAGTCCTATAGGAAATAGAATTAGCAAACCCATACCATTTAGACCCTAATTATGAATCTTAGATATATAAATAGGAACATAGGAGGCACCTAGAACTCACACCACAATAACTTTCACCACACAAGAATTCCCAAGAATCCCCATAGGAGAAATCAAGAAAGAAGAAATCTTAAAGAAAAGACCCTTCATAGCCAAGGAAATTAAGGTTAAGAGGTAACCCATGTCTCAACAAAACCTATTTTCCTTGCTATAATCTCCTTCTTTGGCTCCCTCTATATGCTTGTGTCTTGATAAATTCCTTTATGATAATCGTGATATAATCTTATTTGATTGATGTGATGATTTTATGTGTGATCTTGATGATCTTGATATTAAAAAGAGGTTCTTGATATTTATGTGATGATTCTTGATAAATCTTGGTGTTTCTTGATGTTAGAGATAAAATATGATCTTGATAATTTGGATGGGAACTAGAGCCCTAGGTTGGATTGGGAATTTGTATTGTGATGTTCTTAATTTATATTTGGGTGGGAATTTGCATGTTCGGGTGTTGTTATGTTTAGAAGTCATGTTAGGATGTGTTCAATATGATTCTTGCTTTGATCCGTTAATTGCCTATGTGATGTCGTTATTTGCGTTTAAAAGCGTCTAAGCATGGTTTCGGGTCCCACAAAGGATCCCGGGACACGTTATTTGATGAATGAGTTAGTGGGGGTAGGGGGACCCGCCACCTACCCGCTGCCCGAGAATCACCGCCAAGCAGCGGGTAGCCGGCCGGCCACCCGCTGCCCGGAAGATCGTCGTCGGCGGGTGGCCCTCCACCCACCGGCTACTCGCTGGTCTGTTACCCACCCCGGGTCCTTGGCTTCCCCGTTTGATGTTCCCCATTCCCCGTGGTGTCCTAACGAACCCCGTTTGTCGTGCTTAAGTCTAGTTTGATGTTTCGGGTGCCATTCGTAGGATAGAAGAGTCTTAGGAATTGCGTGCTAGTGAATCGGTAACCCGTTGGCCTAGGGGGAAAATGCATGAACCCCTTAGGACTACTCTTAGTATGTGAATGATCACACATAAGTCTATTTATACACCTCCCCCTTCCCAATGTGTTATTACGTGCTACAATGTGTTATGTGATGCATGATTCCCCAATTTGGTTGCGATCAAATTGGGTGTTCCTGAGCTGCGGTTCAGAAGTTGGCTGCGGTCAAATTGGTTACTTATTTGCTGCGGTTCATTTTCCTGGCTGCAGTCAGTGATTCACTTCTTGGGCTGCAGTTCACATGGGCCTCGTGTGCTGTGGTCCACCGACTGGACGCGCCAGGCGGTGTGTAGGACCATTAGCCCGAGGAAGGTTGTAGTCCACCGAATGAGCGATCAGGCGGTGTGTAGGGCTACGGTTAGCTGCGATCCACCGAGTGATGGGCCAGCGGTGTGTAGGGTCGTAGTCTCCGAAGATCATCGTCCACAGAATGAGTCCCTCGGTCGGTATGTAGGGCTTGATCTGCTACGACCCACCGACTGAGTTTATCAAGCGGTGTGTAGGGTCGCAGTCCCCCCTTGTAAAGAGGATCACAGTCCACCGACTGAGCGCGTCAACGGTGTGTAGGGCTGTGATCCGCCGTTGATTTCGTCAACGGTCTATGCAGTTCGTTGCGATCAACCCCCTTCATGCTGCGGTATGAGGTAGGGTGCTGCGGGGCCGTGTTAGTACTATATGTACTAACCCTCATGTTCGGAGCATGCGATTGGTCCCGTGGCGCCATCAAAGTATGCTTGTGTGACTTGAATGATGATTGATTGATTATGTGAACGATTTGGAAGTGAATTGTGACCTTAGATACATGTTCTTATGATATTATCTCTATATAACTGTTTAACATTGTTGAATGTGCCTATCCCTAC